TGGACCAATTTTATAACAGGGCCCAAAATCAAAAATCTAAATACAAAGTTAGATTTAATATAATACATGTATCATAGAACACTATTTATTCGATTTTTGTTGAAATCAAACAAAGTTTAATTTTGGATCCCGATTTGAAACTTGAAAACCGGGCCCAAAATAAAAAAATCTAAATACACGGTTAGATTCGGCATATCAAAAAAACTAAGAATTCATTTCTTTTTTAAAATCAAACAAAGTTTGATTTGAACCCTTTGGACCTTAGTGTGGACTAATTTGAAAACTGGCCCAAAATAAAAATTCTAAATACATTTACACGATTAGATACGGCATATCAAAGAACTCCAATAGTTCAATTTTTGATGAAATCAAACAAAGTTTACTCTTAGACCTTCATGTGGACCAATTCAAAAACGGGGCCAAAAATCCAAAATCTAAATAAACGGTTAGATTCAGCATATTAAACAACGTCAAGAATTCAAGACTTTGCATTAAACTTCATTGAAATTGGTCAAGAAATAAGCAATTTATACAAAATATTAGAAAAATATTATTCTTGACCCCTTTTTCCTAAACGGTTTGGGCCATAACCTCTAAAATCAATCCACACTTTCCTTTTTTGGTATGGAACCTTGGGGTTTAATTTCATGGAGATCCATATAATTATACTCAAGCTATTGTCCGGAAACCAGAAAATCCTATTTTTCCCCCCTAATTCCTAAATGGTTTGGGCCATAACCCACAAAATCAATCCCAACATTCCAGTAGCGCCTGCATACAGAGTATGTATATATCTCCCAGTTGATACGATATTCCAGGGCTTGTATTTTCTATCATGATTTCCTTGATAGAGGGTTGCTGCTCACAAGGAAGTCGTGAGCTATTAAACCAAGAGTTCCAAGTGGTGAAGTTGAAATCATCCCTTCGTTAATTTTACGGACGCCATCACGAGTTGGTTGTCCGTTATGGAATATCCGTTTCACAGATGCTAGCGGATATGTACCAAATGTCGTCCCCTTTTCCCCGAATGTGACCTACCGAATTAGACTTATTTCTATGGTTGTACTAACATGAGCAACACGACGGGCGCCACATGAGAAGTAGGATCTGCTTACCCTTCCGGAGCACCTGAGATAACCCCCATTTTTTGGTGGGGTTCGTGTTGCTCAGTCTTTAGTTTTCTATGTTGTGTTTTGTGTACTATTGTTTGTCTGTTTGTCTTTTTCTTTTTTAATCATGGCGTTGTCAATATAAATAAGAAGATGTGGTATGAGTGCCAATGAGACAACTCTCCATCCAAGTCACAATGTATACATCAATGGTTAACAATTATAGGTCAAAGTACGACCTTCAACAAGGAGCCTTGGCTCAAACCGAACAGCAAGCTATACAGGGCCCCAAAATTACTAGTTTATTAGTATCAGTTTATTTTCGACTTATGAGTTTGAATGTCAATTTGGTATCTTTCGCCTCTCTTCCTTTTAAAGTATGGAACCTTGTGGTATAGTTTCATAGGGATCCATACACTTATAAATAAGTTATTGTCCTGAAAAAAAAAATTGAGGTCGTATAAAAACTAAAGACGGATCCGGAACAACACAAACTTCCTTCAAGGGTCTCACGGGACTCAAACTTACCACACTCTATAAGTATACACTACAGACATGATAAAAGTGAATTCACTCTCAAAAATCTCAAATTTCTTCTGAATATTTCATATTTGATTTTTATAAGTTTAACGATATTGTGTAAAGAGATTTTAAAATTGATAGACTGTTGTTTGCTTAATGTTCAGTGGAAAATAGATCATGCATATTCATGATTGTTTATTTACAGAGAGCTAACGAATTGATTATGTTGTTGTTTACCACTTTGCATGCTTATTTGATTGGTTGTCAAACAATGAGATTATTGGATGTCATTGAGTTAACAGTCTGATTAAAACCAGCCCCCACTACCCACTTGCGCAAGTGGATTAGGGGGGGGGGGGCTGTTTTTAATCAGACTGCAGAGTTAATAACTTCAATAACGGTCATTAAAGAATTGGTTACTTGTTCTCATGTTGTGCTGTCTCAGGTTAGGGGAGGGTTGAGCGCTCACAAACATGTTTAACCCCGCCTCATTCTTTATGATCGAGTCCCAAATCAAGAGCCTGTAGTTCAGTGGTTGTCGTTGGTTCATGTCTGTCATTTGTTTTTCGTAAATTATTTTTTTTATAAATTAGGCCGTTAGTTTTCTCAATTGAATTGTTTCATATATTTTTCAGGTCGTGGCCTTTTATAGCCGACTATACGGTATGGGTTTTTCTCTTTGTTGAAGGCCGTACGGCTACCTATAAGTGCTTACATCCACATAATTTGAACTTTAGTGGATAGTTGTCTCATAGGCAATCATACCACATCTCCTTATTTTTATATTAATAGTAACCGAAAAGGTTTTCCAACGTGTTTTCCGTTAGGTCATATGCACGTGGCAGATTTTTTTGTACATTCATCATGCTAATTATTAAGGAAGTGAGTATGTGACATTATAAACACTTTTAAAATAGTCGGTTGACTTAAAAAAAAACTTTTTCTGACGAATGTTCATAATATCTATAGTACAGTTGAAGTCCAACATGTACGTATATCGTGATGAAACGGAACCGAAATCCGATGACGGCCTCCGATGAAACAAAATTTGAACTGTCTCGATAGTTTAAACATAGATATTGAGTCTTCCAATGAAGACATGTGTCGCATGCAGAATAAAAATCACCAAACGAAAATTGAAGAAACAGGTGCAGTACTAAAATCCAAGTTTGGTTGAATTCTACAAACTTAAAGCCCTCATCAAATAGTTGCAGGTTAACAAACTGATATAAGCAAAACTTTTAAAGATTGGATACATGATTTTTTAACAGCGACCAACCAGGTTAATCATGGCAGAGTTCCTCAATGAGTTGAACCAGTACTCAACAGAAACCTCGCTTCCAGTCAATTGTAATTATTGAATGTATAATTGATAAATAAAATACTTAGTAATTTGACCATTATCATGGAATGCATTATGTTGAAACTGCTCATGCTGTGTTGGTGCAGTAAAATGTGTCTCTGCACTTGTGGTGTATTTTCTTACATTTTACAGTTATGGGTGTTTTGCTTGTATCGCAACTGTCAAAATTAGCGAAATCAATATGTTATTGTTCTGTTTCTTTAAATCTATTATTTGTATGTTGAACAACCATCATTCCCAACGATGCCCCTACTATCGTAGTTCGGGCATAAAATGAATCTATGTATTTTTATTTTTACAGATGTAATCCACAATGCTTTAAAATCAGGCAATGTCGAAACATCGTATGGTAATTGTGATAAATAATTGTGCCTCTTTTAGTATGCCTAATAGGTATGGAACGAAAGAAAAGAATGACTATTTAAAGGAATATAGTTTATCTTGTCATAGAATTTCTTTTGCAAAATATTAAAATTGTGTCGGTCATTTGCAACATTTTAGTGGTCAAAACATTTGAACCACGACTTTTCGAGAAATCTGCAACTTTCTCTGCAACCGCATATCCTGGTATTACATTCTGATTTGCAGTAAATTATTTTTAGCAAAAAATCTGGGGAAGGCTGTTGTGACATTTCAAATGGGAATAAGTTGTTGTTTCGCGAGGCAAAAGAGAATGCATATTTATTAATAGTGCAAACAGCTGTCACAAAGTCACATGCAAAAGAAGTATAGTTGTATTTGGAGAAGACACTGATTATACTTGTCTTGCTTTGTCATTAATTCCAAACAAAACCAAATTACAATATATTTTACATCAGATAATCAAACTACTAAAATGGTACACAAAACATGGTATATATCCAAAACAAAATTAGTAATCGGCGAAAAACTTTGTTACCAGCTCCCATTTATCAATGCAATGACTGTGTGATACAACAATTAGGTTGTTTGGAATAGGTAAACCCCATGTGTACTAAAGAAAATCAAGACTGATGTGTATCTTAGATGCAAGCCAAAGTTCTCATGACTGAAACATTTAGAAAGAGGTAATAAAAAAAACTGGAGAAAAGGCAATTGCATGGCTGAATTCTATATTATGGCGGAATTCCGTTAGAGAGACTTCCATTTTTATCCCAAACTAACTGTATATCAATATTTTACTTGAAAGAAACTATATAGCAACTTGAAAATATAAAAGCTAAATCTTTACCAGGTCTGACATTCTCAAAGTGTAACCATAAATAACAGTTTTCCTTCATTTCAGTTTTGAGTAAATTTTCTCTAAAAACATTATTCGTCCAAAAATGACCTCTGCCGCAAATCATATTTCTGTGTATGTTATGTATAATGTTAGTACAAGCCAGAATTATTACTTCCACTGAAGAAACCTAGTGTTGCAATTAGTTGCAGGTTGAGTGATTTTAAAACTAAATTGTCTAAGCTATACATATAATGCATTTGCAAGGACGATGCAACCTGATTCAAATTGGATTATTTCCCCTTTACCACAAAAAAAAACTGAGAAAAAACTCAGTAATGGATAATAAAAAAATGGACGGGATGGCTGTTTAACGTCCAGTGGCATATTAAATGCATATTCAGGACGAGAACAAAAGTCATGATCATGAGATATGAATATAAATAAACCCTATTGTGTACTGGATCGACACGCTGAGTCTGATCTTTAACGTGCTAGTTCACAAGGTAACAGTCCACAGGAAGACATCTCACCCTACCCGGACACATTATTCTGACTCCGAGCCAACAATTATTTGCTCTTACTCTTTTATGCCGCATGCTTAAAGGAGAACCAGCAAATACCAATTTTAAAATATTCGGTTTCACCCGGCCGGGATTCGAATTAACGAACACCCGCACACGAGGTGAGCACGCTACCGCGAGACCACCAAGTCGGTTAACTTGAAAGCAATCCATTCTTAGTATTGGTCAAATATAGACCAGACGTCTCTAATACTATAAGATACAATTATATTAAAACACAGACATCTGAATAACGTTTTAATCAAATTGCGTACGAAATAAATTAACTTGACTGATGATCTCATTATACATTCACAAAGTTGCAATATTAATATTTCAAAAACATAAAGCACACTGTCTGGAATTCGCTATTGAATGTTGACTTTTATCTTATAAATTTTGTGACTGCTCCAGCTACGGTTCCTACTGTTGCTCCTATCGCTACTTTTGTTGAGGCTGCCATCCCTAAAACCCCAGCACTCTGGCAAACAGCAAACCATCCACCTGCTGCAGTTATCGGAGTCTATAAAGATTTCAAAAAAACAAATTAAAGTTATAAAATAAACCTATCCCTTTCCAATGTTAATTTTTTCTTGATCAAAAGTATTTACATGTATATTACATGTATATCGAAACAACATCTGATACAAAAATTTAAAAATTCTTTTAGATATTTGGATGATATATTGGCTCTCAATAATGACGACTTCAGTGTGTATACTAAAGAAATTTATCCTGTTGAACTTACTTTAAATAAAGCTAATACTAACAATGACCACTGTCCTTTCCTCGATCTTGATATCTATATCGTTAACGGGAAGCTTAATACAAAAATTTATGATAAAAGAGATGATTTTTCATTTCCTATCGTTGATTATTCATTTTTAGATGGTGACGTTCCCTTGTTCACATCTTACGGTGTTTATATATCTCAACTTGTACGATTCGCTCGTGTATGTAACAACGTATTGGATTTTAGCGAGAGAAATTTATGTATTACTGAAAAATTATTACACCAGGGTTTTCGATATCATAAACTAGTCAAAACATTTACTAAATTTTATCATCGGTATAAGGACATCATTCGTAAATATAACTCAACATGCAGACATCTTATACGTTCGGGTATTTCACATCCAATCCTTTATGGTAATATACTTTACAAAGCACAAATAGTCAGTATTCACCTGAAAAGCTAACAAAACCTTTAAACAGACTAATTAAGAAGGGATATAGTTACGATACTGTTGTCAGGTCATTAAAGATTGCATATTTTGACTTTAATATTGATTCACTTATAGTGTCTTTGCATCGGAATTAAACATATTTATTCTAAAACCAGTTGTTGGCATGACACGGGTTATGTTCTTCTCATATATTTTATGATGGTATAATACTAAACCCCTAACAGGAGGGATTGTGCCTGATATTCATATGATGAAGACATAATCTTTCAATCAGTTTAATTGAGGTCTGGAGCTGGCATGTCAGTAACTGCTACAGAAGTAGTCTGTTCGTATTCATGTATTATTGTCATTTTGTTTATTTTCTTTTGTTTCCTATTTTGACATCGGACTCGGACTGCTCTTGAACTGAGTTTTACTGTGCGTACTGTTGTACGTTTGTTTTTTCTACATTGGCTAGAGGTATAGGGGGAGGGTTGAGATCTCAAAAAACATGTTTAACCCCGCCGCATGTTTGCGCCTGTCCCAAGTCAGGAGCCTCTGGCCTATGTTAGTCTTGTATCATTTTTAATTTTAGTTTCTTGTGTATAATTTGGAGTTTAGTATGACGTCCATTATCACTGAACTAGTATACATATTTGTTTAGGGGCCAACTGAAGGACGCCTCCGGGTGCGGGAGTTTCTCGCTGCATTGAAGACCCATTGGTGGCCTTCGGCTGTTGTCTGCTCTATGGTCGGGTTGTTGTCTCTTTGACACATTCCCCATTTCCATTCTCAATTTTAAATACTTAAAAGATGTTAAGAAGATGTTTTTGTTGTCTATTGCGTTTTTAATTACGTTGCTTATCAATAAACATACATTGTATACCCCATATTTCCTTTCACTAATTTTTACTCTGGACTGTTATCAATTGTATAAGAAAAGAGTGTCTAGCTAAAAAATAGTAGTTTTTTCAAACAAATTGCAATCAATGTTTACTGTTATAAAAAGGTTACCTGTATCCATGCAGCCACAGTACCAGCCGCGACTCCTGCTGCTCCAAACCCTGCAGCACTTAATACAAAGGGTGCTGCTACAGTTGCAGTAACTCCAGCTGCCACGGCCACAACTCCAGATGTAAGTGGACCTAAAATATGTATTAACTTATATCAAAATACATTTGTACTCATACAAATTGGTTAGATAAAAAAGTTCTAACAATGAGTTTTACTATCTCATGTTATTGTCATTCCATCACTTCAAGGGATAACTAAGCAATGGTCATCAAAATAGTGCTCAAAAGCTTTTATAGTGGAAAATACGGTACAGACTTTGCTCTTTATTGACGCCCGTACGGAGACCTATAGTTCAGTCCTTAAATCCAATCATTTGAACTCCAGTGGATAGTTGCAGAATTGACAAAAATACCACATCTCCTTATTTCATATTCATCTTGTTATTTGAGATTTCCCTTCCCTTCGTAATTTACAACTTTTAATAATATTGAAGACCAAACCAGGTTATAAAACATTATGCCAAGAAAGAGGGGGACAATGGAGGTATTATAAATGAATATATACCCTTTCTCATAATTCTAGATGGGTTGTGGATTTTTGATAAATGACCAGTGGCAAGTATTACATGCAAATTAGCACTTTATTTACATTTTCTAATTAAATGTGCAAACACAAGTTTTAACTATCATATCTAATTAAAAGAAAATTTTAGCGGAATAAATGAGGAGGAAAAGTTCTGCCATATATCAAACAATAAGGACAAAGATATTTATTTATTATGTGAGTAAATGTTTATATAGATCTGTGATCACTTGCCTTAAACTTTGTCATGTTTATCTGAGTTCTTACCTGATATATTATATATATTGTTCTTTTGTATTAATTTAATTGTTTACTGTTATAAACTCATGTTGCAGTGCCCTTTGTGGGTCCATTAATTTGGAAATAGTATATTCTGTTCTAAAGTGTATGGCAGTGGTGAACATTTGTAGGAGCAGGGGGGCCCATACATTTAAACACATTTAAAAAAAGATATAAACTACAAAAAATGAAAATTAATGAAGGACTAACTACTTGATTATTTGACTATTTAATAAATGGTCTTTTTTTAATTTGCTTGTCATTTTCAGAAGTTCCTTCCCCCTTTCACAAACACATACACTTTCACTCACAGGCTGTAGACGTTCTATCAATAAAATAATACTAAAATATGGACAATGGGAACAAAATCTTGTCAATGTATATAAAAAAGATATGAACAAGTCTAAATTGAAAACGACGTTCAAACCTATGATTGCATAAAAAAGATATGTATATACATTGATACTTTTTTCTCTCCATTGCCCATATTTTATTATCAAAGATCTAACTTAACGTATAATGCTTGTGGTCTACTCTACTCTTACACTCCTACGCCACTGCATGGGAAATGATTTATTATATAGTATAAAAATAAGAAGATGTGGTATGATTGTCAATGAGACAACTCTCCACAAGAGACCAAATGACACAGAAATCAAGAACTATAGGTCACCTTACGGCCTTCAAAAATGAACAAAGCCCATACCGCATAGCCAGCTATAAAAGGCCCCGAAATGACAAATGTAAAACAATTCAAACGAGGAAAGTAATGGCCTAATTCATGTACAAAATAATGAACAAAAAACAAATATGTTACACAGCAACAAACGACAATCACTGAATTACAGGCTCCTGACTTGGGACACTGAGGCACATAAAGAATGTGGCGGGGTTAAACTAGTTTGAAGCGCCAACCCTCCTCTTAACCTGGGATAGTGGTGTAACAGTACAACATAAGAAAAAACTATAAAATCAGTTGAAAAAGCTTAACTCACCAGATAGATACAAATAGAAATACATCTAAAGAAAACACAGAGTGGACGTGGCAGGGTATACTTATACATCCCCACAACAAAAAGATCAGTACAGATCTGAGAGTATTCGCAGTTACTGACAGCTATATATATAGTTCAAAGCCAATAACAACTAATCATGCATCTAAGTGTTTGTTGTTTGTCTATTATCATAATATCTTTGTTTAAATGCAGGGGCGGAGCTGGGGGAAAACTTTTTTTTAGGTAAAATATTATCGAAATATTCTTTATTAAGCTGAGGATAACCCATGCTTTGCAAATGTTAGGAGGGGGCGCACGCCTGCCACGCCCTCGCCTGAATCCGCCCCTGAAATGTACAGTTCGAACAATTTAAATTTACTATTCTGCACATGTACCTGAGTGTGTATTCGTGTCAACAGTAAACACGGCCATATATAATACACAGTACATAGGCCGTAATGATGATTGATATATATGTCATTGTTAATAACAATTACAATGTCACTGTGTTATAGTAATCTCAGATATATGTTATTAATTCGACACTTTGTCACAACAAGTAAACTTACCAGGCATTCTTCCTCGATGATGAGAAGTAACCTGTATAAATACAAAATGTAGGGCTATGCTGCGCAGTAATATTATGGTTCTAAAAATAAACTAAACTACACGTATTTAGGGGACGACCATTTGATATTCTGGGGGAGGCCAGGAGGATTTGTTTTGGATCGGTTATTTATTTTTGTAAACTAAGAGGACAGATTATCTATTTTCTGCACTATTTAAGCAAGATTTTTCATTTTCATTAAAGCAAGGGACTGATTATTTATTTTCACAACTATATTTATAATATTCGAAAACATACAATTTTTAAGTTATTTGTTTATTATAAATAATTCATGTATAGTCGAGTCATTATGTACCATTTAATCAGAATTAATTATTATCCTCTGCAGAAATGAATCTTCTATATCCCCCAATGCATATACATGTATTGCATACATACACAGTATTAAAGTTTGGTTGTAACTAAGGCTCTTTTAAAAGTATTGGCAAACATGTTTCGCCGAGCGGAGCAAGGCAAAATTTTTTTTGAAGGGTTTTTGAACCGCTGAAGGCCCAAGAAGCTATAGAACAAATGATGCAAAATCATGCCTTCTGGGTGTTCCCCAGACCCTTTCTTAAACTGAAAATGCAAGTTCTGTTTTAATAATTTTATGAAAATATTTTGGTCTCAAAGCAAAATCACCTTATAGATTCAGTGTAAGACTTAAGTTTCTAGGAACAAGATCAAAAGACAAATATGCATGATATTAAAAGCAAAAACGTTATTCACATAGTTAAGTCTGTGGCTGCTGTGTTTTTTTAAACTCATGATCAAGTTAATAATAAAATTACTAAATTACAAAATGAATGCAACACTAACAGAATACAGAAGGGCAATCAATGAACAAAAGACAAATAAATAAGAAACATTGATCCCGAAAAATCAGGGGCTACGTCTGAGGGAGAACAGAACTTGCTTCTTGCAAGGCACTCACGGTGAACACAATTTGATATGGAGACAAGCGTTTAGTTTTGAAATTTCCTACACGAGGCATTTGTCTCAATGTAGTTACGGCCCTGATTTAATAAAAGTGAGGTAAGTGTTCCTGAGACAATTAACCTCAAGTTAAATGAAACCAATTTTCTGACATTTCAAGTATATTTAAATAATATTTATACTTTTATTATTAAAAGATATGGGAAGTGTTTCCCAATTTTTTTTTTTGGAAAAAAGATGAATTTATGAAGAATCTGGTGCCATCTCATACTTTCGATTAGACCTGCTGAGTTATTTATTTTCAATACATTGCAAGTCAGGTAATTTATTTTCAAACTACCACAGAACAAACCATTTATTTTTGTGATTATCAAGGCTGAGTTATTTATTTTCAAAATCCTCCTGCCCCCCCCCCCCCCCCCCCCCCCCCCCCCCCAGAATATCAAATGGTCGTCCCCTTACATCGGAAAGATCGATCGAGTAACAGACAGTGGCGGATCCAGAAATTTTCATGAGGGGGGGGGGGCTGACTGCCTAAGAGGGGGCCCGCTCCAGTCATGCTTCAGTGATTCCCTATATAATATACAGAAAAGGGGGGCCGGGCCCCCATGAAAAGCCCTCTAAATCCGCCTCTGACAGAAACGACATGAGCAACTAGTTTTTACTACGGGTTTTACCATGAATTACAGATTATTTAGTTAAAACCTAGCCCTTTATAGAATATGTATTTATCATTGCAGATGTTTGCTAAATTCATATATTTCTTTTAATGAAACTTCATTTGAACAGCTAAATATTCTGAAATGCCATTTAAAATTACATCGTAAATTCGAAACTTCATAAATCTAGAATTATATGTACAAAATATTGTATGATACTCTCATAAGAATAAACCTATATATATAACAATAGGTATAGGAAAATAATATATATATATATGTATGTACATGTAGTCGAAAATAATGTTCAATTATAATTATGACAAAAACATTTCTCTTTTCTCATTGGCTAAACGCGTAGTATTACGGAGTCTTCTCTGATAAACCTTTATATATATTCACCGCGGGCAAATCATGAGAGGTTAATAAAAGATTTGGAACAGCTAACGTGTTCCTAAATTTATATAGATATTCCAAGGCAACGTCAATGACGTAAGTTTTTTCTTTTTCTTCTTGTTTTCGCTGTATTTTTTGTTAGTACACTGTATTGAATATTTTCAAGTTATAACAGTGAGAAGCTGAAAAAAGTAGAAGATATATTACGTATAAAAACAATGAGCAGTTTTTAAAAGTATCTTGAGCAAAAAGAAAACTGGAGAAAGATAAAAAGTCATATGATAAAACAATTGACTTTTGATATCGGTTGACCTTGGTGAATATCATATCTCTGCGGTTGATAAATGATTGTATCAATCTCATCAAAAGTCAATAATTGTATAATATCTACCTTTCATTGCCAAACAAATTGTAAACAAAACCCATTCAGTGCAAAGGCTTTTTCTGGTTGTCTTTCCGTTTACAGAAATCACGTCGACGTCATAGTACAGGTTTAAGGGCATACGATACAGATTCGATCCCATGATGATTTGTTTACGAAAATTTACATACAAGCTATTTGTCACCTAAGTAATTCAAATATGTGCTACTTTAAGAGATAAAAGGGGTCGACATTTTAGACATTTACTCAAAATTTCGGTTTTTTTTTTACATTTCTATCCTTTGGATAGACACACCTAACTTTTTTTTATTTCAACAGATAAATACAAGCGGATTTTTGTAAAAACATGAAAATCTTCTTTACGTAAATATACTCTTAATATGTACAACAATTCTTAGGAAATAATTATTTTTAACAAAGTTTCAGGATTTTAGAAAAACAACGGCATTTTTTGCGGTATATTTATCAAATTTAAAATTAAAAAAAAATTCATTGCTGCCTTTTTCATTAAAATTGGTACAAATAATCTTCATACGTAATCAAACCTAATGCCATTTTAAAAAAAGAGGGGTCCATGTTATATATATGTACTCGTTTTCAAGTTAAATCAGTTTAAATCATAAAAAACAGTCGAAAAATGCATCTTTTAAAATTGAGAATGGAAATGGGGAATGTGTCAAAGAGACAACAACCCGACCATAGAGCAGACAACAGCCGAAGGCCACCAATGGGTCTTCAATGCAGCGAGAAACTCCCGCACCCGGAGGCGTCATTCCCGATAAGTCACAATTTGACGTCGAAAAAATAGCTTTTACGTTAGCAACGTCATTACCTCCCCTGTAACTGTATCGTATGCCCAAAATTGGCGGGAATTAAACCTTTTAATAGTCCGTCTGGAGCTTATAATATTTCGACAGGTTACCTACTCTGTTGTAGGACATTCTGGTCCACGTTCGAGTATAAGAGCAACTAGATAAAGTAAAATCAAGCTTACACAATTGGATAAATTTGGGGAGGTGGGGAATAAATTGTTTTATGTTTTCTATACATGAACAAAAAATTGCACCGATTGTTAGCCTCACTTTAATTACTTCTTTTAGTTTTTCTTACTTGAACAGGGACCAGCAGAGAAGGTAACCTGTCAAAATATCATAAACTCCCGAGTCAAATAAAGTCGGTTATATGAATAAGAACTATTGCAAATGGATTTGTCACTACTTATAAAAGTTTGTGATTATTCTTTATGAATAATTTCATTATATGAGCTTGGGATACACAATTCAAGATACATAAACATTTATCAAACACGATATTTTATTCATCAGCGTTACATCGTCTGCTGCATGTGTTTCTTATATCATGTTTTATGAACACCTTTACGACGATCTTTGGAAAGGTCATCAATAAATAATTGTATAAAATGGATACGAGATTTAACATTGTCGGAGTTCTGTTGATATAAAATATATGCATTTATGACCATCCTGTTTATAATGTTAAACACGATCTTCTTCCACATTTTCGTTGATTTTCGGCCGTCCTCGTAAAAACTAGTGAGCATGTCGTTCAAGTCGACACCTCCCATATATTTATTGTACTCCGTTATATCCCCAACTTCAGGTAGCAATACACAGTTAGGAAAAAAGCTTAAAATTTCCACTCATAATTTTTAACCACGTACCTCTGTCCCTTCCTTACTGACAAATAAATTAAGGCTTTATATTTGTGTAATGCATGTGTGTATTTATGGAAAGAGCATCTTCCATAAATTTGATTTCCAATAGTTATAATGGTGAAATATAATCTCTTTTTAGTGTAACCATGGCAACAATTAATCTGCATTTATTTGATACAAAATATTGCAAAAAGGGGGATGAAAATGTCACAAAAGTCCCCAAAATTTGGTCCAAAGGAAAATTTCAATCTATTAGATTGATACCTTTCCTGAAACCATAGACATTTATATATCAAGAGGTCAAAAAAAAAAAAATCATATGCATTTCTGCTCATTTTTCCATAAAGTTGAATTGAAAAGTTCGAGGGTCACATCTCTGTTGAAAAAACACTACAATAATTTCTGGACCTATGGGCGGTACGGATGTGAAAATACGGACTGTCAAACAGATAAATGGCCTATAAAACATGCTAAAACAATCTTGATGTTCATATAAACCCACTTGGAAGGCTATATTATTCTTCAACTATCTAAAAATCAATTTTATTGGTCAAAAACTTTCATATTTAAAAAAATTAACCATGGCCATAATGCGAAACTAAACTTCTAACTGTGTATTGCTACCTCAGGAGGATAAACTCGAAACCAAGATTTGGGATCAGCCATAATTCGATGGGGGCGTTCATGGATTACGTCATTAGATCAATTACGTCATCAATGGGTATTGCACTTTTTTGCGTACTTTTGATCTTTTCACGTGTTTGGGGATTTAAAAAAAAAAATATTTGCATTTTATTTTCAACCTTTCTTTGTTAAGTTATTTTGTTCTTATTTGATTAATTTGTTATCTTCTATAACATTTAAACTTGCATTCATATATTTTTTTTTAAAAGTAAATCCCTTGATAACTTTAGGAAAGTAAACTTAAAATGCATATCGCAAAAGCGCCGGAAAATGTGAGTTAATTTAAGACTCAATACATCTAAAAATTACATCTGATTCAATAATATTTAAAAAG